TAAATTTATCTTAAAAATAATGTTTGATTAACAACATTTTAAAAATTTATTCAGAACTCAGCGAAAAATTTAGAATTTAGCGTCCAATAGTATAAGTTACTTCCATAAGAGATTTAAATACCCCGAGAGATTTAAATAAAATAATTATTAATTATTATGATATCCAGAGAAACGTAGTTTATTCTATTTGTTTAAGTATATTAAGCGGGATGTATTTATTACATTTTAACAGGGCACCATGTATTTTAATTTACAGGTATTAATTTATTCATTGGATCCTCATTCATTAATGTAATGTATATCTATTAAAGTTACGAGTTTAGTTCAAAAAATATCTTTTTTATATTTATATAAAACCCGTTTTATATAGATTAACGTGTAGTACTTAATTTGGTAAAAAAAATGGTTCGCTCGCATCCAAATTTCTTATCTGCTAGCGTAGCTTTCTAATTCCTACGGCAGACTCTCACTCAGACAAATTTTGGTTTCTTCATCTCTCACAGAACCAACCTAAGGTTTGTAGTGCAACTATGGAGTGGACTTTATCTACAGTTTCTGGGCGAGAATGCCCAATTTTGCGTGATCAGTAGTGGAACAGGACCAGTAGAGACCTCAAACCTTCACTCACGATGATTTGTGATTTCGCGCAACCACAACCATCGAGGACTTTGTCAATTCAATTTCTCTCTAACAATATTTGAGTGAACGTGCGGTATACTTTATCGGGTATTTTTCAACAGTGCCGCACCCTGGCATCATTTAAGGAAGAGTCATCTCCTTGACAGAACAATCGAACCCAGTTATCATGGTCGGGTTTTTTTCATATACCGATCGACTTTACTCGTGTTCTACAAATGAAATGGTTCAACAGTTCAGTTCTTAGAACTGAACTGTCAGACTAAGAACGAGATAAGATTTAATTATAATGGTAAAAGGCTTGTACAGAAGCATCCATACATTTTGGAAGAAATGCTATACCGAGAAATGGTGCATATAGTATGCCACAAGGACTCAAAACGACTCTCCCCAGGTTTTGAATTCAGAGTTGTCCTTCTCCAACAAGGAAAAAAGAGCCCAGACCGGTCTAGTATTTAGCCCATAGTGGCGTTTTAGGTGGGGAAATAGATTCATTGACATAATCCAAAGGTATTTGCGCGAAAGTGAATGCAACAGACTAGACTGGATTTGGAACTCGAAATAATCGCTGATCCATCCACTAACCAGTACATTATCGATCAATATATATATATATATATATATATATATATATATATATATATATATATATATACAATTGCGATGAGTAAATTGTCGCCATTTTATCTTTTTTAATTTCGCTTAAGCGCGTTGTTTGTTTTAATTTTGTCGACTGCACAGTATTGTAGACGCAATTCCTCCATGAAATTTGGAACGGTATGCTGTACTGCTGGGCATTCGCGCTGGAAGCTCAATACGAACATTTCAAAATGTTTCGATGTCCAATGGGCTTCGGTGACGAAGAGGTAGCGAATAAGACTCGATATAGCGCCGCTCGATCACATATGACGTTTGCCTGATAACGTAACTGTCCGGGTTTCAATTTCTCTTGTAATGGATGCGCATTGCTGATGAGTCCCAAATATAGGACGAAACGGCCGTCCAGTGCTTTCTGCATTCTGTTGAGGTTTCTATCAGACTCGATGAATTAATTATAATATATATATTTTTTTTTTTTAAGCATTTCAACCCAAGCAAGGCGGGAAGCCACTAGGATGCAAGGGGTTACAGAAAATAGGAAGATCAGATAGGAGTGATAGAAGAAAGGATGAGGGTAGTAGATAGATTAAGGCAACTGGAGATGTCGATTGACGTTACACTTGAATAGCTGGAGATTATAGCTCACAGGGAAACAGGAATAGGGAAGGGAGTTCTACAGGCGAGAGGTGCGAGACATGAAGCTATTGGAGTAGAAGAGACGGCTACATTTAGGAGTTTCGACAGTGAAGGGGTGAGAGCGGATGCCAGCCTCGTCGGGCGCTTGAACTCATGAAGTCTGGGAACCAGCGAATGCAGCTCCTCGGAGCAATTTCCATGGAAGTATTTGTAGAACAGACAGAGGGAGGCGACGGCGCGTCTGTGAGAAAGTGACTGTAGACGAGACGCCAGGCCAGGGCCAACCATATTGCATATCCGCTTCTGGAGCCTATCAAGAACCCCGAGGCAAACAGAAGGGGCGCCAGACCATATATGGCAGCAATACTCCATGCAAGGGCGAATTGTGGATTTGTATATCTGGAGGATCGACTCAGGGGAGAAAAAAATTTAAGGAAAAATAAAAAATTTTTTAAAAATCTGAAAAAACGAAAACAAAAAAAAATATAAAAAAAGTATATAAAAATAAATGAAAATTTAAATATGCCTTCTGCTAGATTTCTGATATGCACATGGGCCAACAAGTCGATGCTGTTTTCATCATCAATGATAATGGTGACAAGAAACCATCTTTCTTTATCTTGTGTCCAGGCGGACCACCTGAAGGGGGGAAACAATCATCATAATAAATTTTTGGAAGTACTGAATTGTTATAATAATCTCAATAAAGATTTTCAATTGGAGATTTTTTAACAAAAAAACAATTCCCTTTCAGACAATATATCAATGAGCAAAAGGTGACTGCAACTTTTGAATCTGTTCCAGAAAAGTATGGACAATAACATGAATAGGAATATAGTCAAAAGGATCTCTAACAAATTAGAAAAAAACTATTGAAATTTTTGTGACATATAATGAGGAAAGATGTCTTGGAGAAATTTTAAACACAAGACTACATACTGAAGGCAAGTATATCTAAAATCAAATTGACTACATAATTTTCAACAAAAATTAAACAAATGGTTTGTACTGCAAAACCTTTTCCTGTTTTAACTTCTTTTGTTGATCATCACCCATTATATGAACCAAATTTGGTTGTAAGAAAAATTTAAATACTTTATACCCAAATTTCTACAACAAACTTTTGTCTAAACCCTTTTTCCAGACAATGTGGAAAGAAGATTTGAAAGACACAATGGAAACTATCGAAATGGGATGAAAATTCAGAGACGCTTTATTAAGTTTATCAACAAAACATATATCATTGGAAAGAAGAATGGATGAAATGAGAGTTCTTGAAATTGATGCAAAAGGAGACAAAAAAACTGTTGAGATACAGGAATGGAATACATTTTCTCTACACAATGATTTAAGGGACCAAATGGGCAGGCCTAAAAAGAATAAAAAACAAAAATGTGCAGAAATAGACAGATTAAAAGGGTTTGAAGAAAATTTCATTTGCATAAAAAAAAAAGAAACAAAAGGAAAAAACCATATGCTCATCAACAGACGCTGAAAAATTTAAATTTCTGAATAACCATACTGATTTGTTGTGTTCGTAACTGCGTTTATCCAGGGAGTTTTAAGAGACAGTAAAAACAATTAAAAATTACTTCTAAAATCATATGAAGCTTGAAGTACATATTCATTGTTACAAAATGTTTTATAAAGCATTATCTAAATCTTTAAAAAAAAAAATTTCATAACTGAATGGCGTCCTTTTATTTATTTGGGAGGGATATCCTTTTTTTAAACCAGTGGGCTCTGAATCAATTTTTTTACAATTATAGTAAACTGACCATGTAAAAATGAAAATAAATATTTCTATTAAAAAATTTTGAAATGTTTTGATATTTCATAACTTAAGAGAACAATCAGCTTAAAAATAAAATTTTGAAAAAAGTTTGAAAATCAAGCAAAATTTATCAACCAAAAATTTAAAAATATTTACCCTACACCAAAATAAAATAAAATAAATACATAAAAAAATTCAGATAGAATAAATGTTTATTTCATGGAATAAAATTAAGCTTTTTCAAAAAAAATATAGAATTATCAATGAGATAAAAAGAAGAATAAAAACAACTTATAAAAATTCAGATGTTCCTGGAGAAAAAACATAATGTTATAAAACTGATGAAAAAAAATAAGCAACAACATTTATTTTTTTACCTTTTTAAAAGTCTTTTTTATTTTGTTTGTTGTGTGGATTATACTACTGGGTTAGAATACAAAAAAAGAACGGAATGGAACCAAAAAACAATATAAGAAGCAGGCATGGCAAATGAAATGAAAAAAAAAATCATCCTAAGAAAAAAGGCAAAGTATTCATTTTGTAGAATGTTGTGAAACAGTCAAAACAATGGAAATTAATTTTCACTGAATTCATGAATCAAGTTATGCTAAGAAATCCTTGTTGAATACTTTAGAAAACAGAATGTAAGAAAGAAAAGATTAAATAAGACTGACAATAAATGAAAAAGAAAGTAAGCAAAACAACAGGAAGGAAAATAAGACGAAGGAGAATAAAAAAAACAATTAAAAATGGAGAAAATAAGGAAGGAAAATTTAAATAAATAATAAGTTTAGGAAGAAAAACATTAAATCCTAAGGTATGAAAAAAATAAAGTGAAAAATAAAAAGAATGAAAAAGAAAAAAAAATTAAAAAAGAAATGGAAGAAAATGTAAAAATCAAAATAAGAAATGAAAAAACAATAGTAATATATGAATAAAAAAGAGAGAGTGAGAGTAAGAAAGTAGAAATGAATATAAAAAAATGAGATATTAAAATAAAAGATGGGGACATTTTTAAAAGAAGGAGAAAGATGGTAAAGAGGTTCAAATGTGAATGACTGGTAAAGATTATGAAAATAAATATATAAAAAGGAAAAGTATAAATTAAAAAATACATTTTAAAAAGTGAATGAAGAAAGGAGGAAGAAAAGTAAAACTGAAATGAGTTTGAGAAAAAAGATAAAACCACAAGTAAAACTAAAATTAGTATGAACTCTTGAAGGTGAGAAAGAGAAATCAAAAATTTTTAATTAGCGATAAGGCTAGAAGAAGACAGGTAAATAAAACAAAAAAGAACAAAGGAAATACAAGAAGAAAGGAAAAGAGAAGCTGACATTAACAAAATGGAAAAAATTCAAAAAGACAGGAAAGAAGCAGAAAAAATAAAAGAAGAGAAATTAATAAAAGAATAAAGGAAAGAAAGAGAATACAAGAAAATGAAGGAAGAAAAAAAAAGAAAAAAGAAATGTGAAAATGAAAGAATAGGTAGGAATGAAAAAAATCTAGAGATGAAAGAGAAAGTAAAATGTTCTAAGAAAAGTAAGAATAACAAAAAAGATAAAAGAGATAAAATTAAAAAGGAAAAGATGAGGCTGAAAAAAAAAAAAAAAGGAAAAGATGAGGCAGAAAAAAAAAGGAAAAGATGAGGCTGAAAAAAAAAGGAAAAGGAAAAGATGAGGCTGAAAAAAAAAAACGTAAGATGGGCTGAAAAAAAAAAAAAGATGAGGCTGAAAAAAAAAGAAAAGGAAAAGATGAGGCTGAAAAAAAAAGGAAAAGGAAAAGATGAGGCTGAAAAAAAAAGGAAAAGGAAAAGATGAGGCTGAAAAAAAAAGGAAAAGGAAAAAATGAGGCTGAAAAAAAAAAAGAAAAAAGGAAAAGATGAGGCTGAAAAAAAAAGGAAAAGGAAAAGATGAGTCTGAAAAAAAAAAAAAAAAGGAAAAAGATGAAGCTGAAAAAAAAAAGGAAAAGATGAGGCCGAAAAAAAAAAAGGAAAAGAGAAAAGATGAGAGTGTTGGAAAGCCAAAAGGAAAGATGAGAGTGTTGGAAAGCAAAAAGGAAAGATGAGATGGAAAACAAAAAAAGAGAAATAATTTGATAGTTAAAAAGAAAAGAGAAAAGATAAAAATGGAAAGAAAAGATGTTAATAATGAAAAATGAAGAAAAAAAGAGAATGAAAAAAGGAAAAGAAAATATATAAAAATTAAACTGTGAAAGAAGTCATACAGAGTTAAAAGAGAACAAAAGAAAGAAGAATAATGTTTGTTGCTCCTAGCAACACACAGCAGAAAATTACAATCTGATTTAATTCAATTGACATCAGTGGAATACTAAGGTTGGACAGTCATCACCTTTTCTCTGGAGACAACATAAATTGTAACAATTATTATTACTTTCTTTCTTACATAGTAAATAAGTTAGAAAGATTTTTCTCTAAAACTCAAAGCAAAAATATTAAATAAAAAAAGTTAAAAATGAATGAATAGTAAAAATATAATAAAACAATTATTTTGTTTGTTGTTTTCTTTTACCTTCCATTTCTTTTCTTTTTCTTTTTTTTTGGTTATTTGCTGTTTTGTTTATTCGTTTGTTTAGTTACACTGCCATCTACTGGCAAAAATGAAAACAAGACTGGTGATTCCTGATGCCTGAGGTGATGAATCTTTTTGTCAACATTCTAATTTCTTGTAAAAACCAATTTCTTTCGTGCTACAATCTGATTGCTTCTAGGAAGTGTTCCTGTATCATGTCTATAAGAAAGAAATAAAAAAAAAAAAATAAAGAATAAAAATAAAATAAAAACATATGCTCCCACCCCCACCCTCCACAGTTCCATTTAGAATGTTTATTTCTACTTTTGTCTTGTCTCACCTGCTTTTTACAAATTCTTTCTACCTTGTCTTCCTGAGTGGTAGTGTTGTGGTTACAACATCTGACGAAATACCACAGATTTGGGACAAAACTGATTTACTACTCTATTTTGCAAAGAAAAAAATCTGACTTTAAATTATGAAGAAGATTTAACTTGGATTACATTTTCATGACAGTAATTAACAGAAGAGGTCTTTCATGATATATCAAAGAATATGACCACTTGTCTTAGTGTGAGAAAGTCATTGTTAGTGGGCTCTATTCACATCAAAGAATAATTAGTGGCATATATACTCAGGAGTATGAAAGTTCTCAGACCAAAAAACCCTTCTTAAAAAAAAAGAAAGTGTACTGAATCAAGCAAGAACCTCTCAGCATTGCCTCACATACACACACACAAGTGTGTGTGTGTGTATATATATATATATATCTATAGAGAGAGAGAGAGGATGTACAGCACTATTGTTGCTGACAATTTGACAGTAATTTAGTACTAGAAATTTAATAAATTAAAATCAGCGATATTTGTATCAAAAAAATTATATTCCTGATTTATGAATATTCTAAATTTGATTTCATATTTGCATTTTTAAACAAATATAAACATGATATACATTTGAATTAATATATTTCAATAATAATAATAATAAATAAGATTAATCTATAAAATTTAATTTCTTCTTTCATGAAAGAAAAAGATGTAACTTTGCCATGGTGACAAAATGATTAAGGGCTACAAAAGTCTTTTTTCTCTAAAGAGTACCTGGTACCAAATCAAAATGCCCAATTCCATCCACAATATACATACATACACTATATATATATATATATAGATAGATAGATAGATAGATAGATAGATAGATAGATAGATAGATAGATAGAAAAGAGTTGAATAGAACAGACAAAGAATATTTGCTGAGCTAGATATGTTTCTCAATTTGCAGTTATATATAATGTTCTGAGTATTTTAACCAACCCTGGTCATTTTCAAGGAAAGAAGGAAGATATTCAAAGAGAAAATACATGAGACATTTATGTTAACAGTTTGGAGTTTGAAAAGGACATGGATTCATATGCTATAATGGTAGAATAGACTTTAGTGCCACAAGACTAAAATGGCCTTATGGTTCAAAGATATTTTATTTTGTGCAAAGAGTGAAACAAATTTTATTCATGGTGAATTGCTGTCTTTTGATGCAAAGAGTTCCCAAACTTTTTAATCATTTTTTTTTGCAGTTGTATTGACAGATTACTTTTCTGTGGACAACCATAATCTGAAGGTAATTAGAAGGGACACTATGGATTTGTATTAAATGTTTGTATATGGCACTTTGCTCAGAGAGATGACAAGTCAGTCTTCTCAAGAGAAATGTTGCAGCATGAACAATATATATTGATGTTTTGTTTTTTATTATCAACATAGACACAGTTTCCCAAAGGACATGAGATTTAGAATATAACTTTACTTTTTCACAGAGAGTAATTTCTTGTTAAGAATTATTGTTAGTAAGCACAAGGATGAGTTTTGAAATTTTTGTAGCATTTGAAGCAACTTAGATTTATTTTTATTATCTTTAAGAGTTATATATTTAAGAATGATATTTTTATTACTTTATTGTTTCTTATGAAATTTGGATTGTATCTGGTTACTAAGTTCATAGTATTTTTGTTGTGCTTTAAATTGGAATAATTAAGTATGTTGCTCTGATAAGTTTTTATTTACTCAAAGGATTTCTGCCTCCTACACAAATACAGCTAAAAGAAAGTAAGTTCAACTGACCAAACATGTTTTGAAAGCTTTTTTTGATCAGGGTGAGAACATTTCAGCACTCCTTATACACACACACACACATATAATTAATTGTGTATTTGGGCAGCAATCTCTCTTTTATACAAGTTTCACCACTGACAAGGTACTGCGATTAAGTTTTTTTATTCAATTTTTCTTGTGTTTGTATAAGTGATTTCTTTTCTCAACATAAAGTGTGTAAAACTGTCTGAATGTTCTATGTATCCAACTGTTTTCAGCTATTCTATTAGCCATTATCAAGGATTTTTTTTATTATTTTTAACTGAATGTGTAGATTTTTTTATATATGCTTCTAGAGTGATGGGAATGTTTTGTGTTTTTTTTCGATAAACACGGTCAGCACATTGTGGTCGTGTTCATAGGTGATGTTACTGAATGTTGGCTTTTTTCTTTTTTATTATTAGGTCTTACATTATTTTTAGTCTTTTTGACATGTGGTTATTATACTTGTATTTTCTACAAATGTGTTAAGGAAGTGTTTCAGTCATGTTTCTGTGTTTAAATGAGTCCTAATTGACCTATAGTCAGAGAGGTGTAACATGGGTCTTCTCAGATACAAGAAAAATGGAATAAAACCTAAATCACAGTACCTTGACAGTTGTCTTTAAATCTGTAGTCAATTGCTGAAACCTCCTGACAAATGAACAGAATGATTACAAAATTTTTTATATTTGTATCAATCACTTTAATTTTTTGTTTTAATTTTTCATTTGCATTTTCCATCTGAATTTTTCATCTCTTTCTTTTAAATGCGTAAATTTTAATCCATTTTAACATATAAATTGTCTACCATTCTGAGCATTTGCTGCTTTTGAGAAGGGTAAATGGTTGTAATATTTCATGACATGTGAGATAAGATCACATCCCTACCCTAAAAGTCTAAAGTAAGATTAGAAATATATAGATAAAAATAGCAAAGTGTTAATATGTCCTGGTGAGCCATACTTTCAGCATTTTAAAATAAATTATCTGGATGATATTATAAGACAATACTTAACTTGGAATACTGAACTTCATACAATAATAGTAGTTTTAATTACACACCCAATGTTATTCTAGTAATGGATAAAATTTTTACTTTACTACTTTCCCTTAAAAAAGTTAGCAATTTTGCTATTTTTTTTTTTAATAAGGTTAAATAGGTCTTCCTATCACCTGGATTCCTGTTTAGGAAGGGGCATCTGGTTCCTTTCTTCTTCCGAGACATAATAATTGTGACTGTCAAGAATTTTTGGTGATATGTGTGAATGGTGGCTACATCTCTTCATACTGTGGATACTGGGTTGGCAATTTTCTGGTTACTGTATCCCAACTGGGGAGTATCAAGAGAGGCTTCTCTGATCAATATAACATTAATGTTATTGCAGTGTCATGTGATGTATTTTTTATGTCCTAATAATTTCTAGTTTGCAACCCCATAGCCAACATTGCTGTAACTGTTCCAAATTCAGATAATATCACATGTTATCTTAGATTATGTTTTTTTTGCTATTATTATTCTTGGCCATTTCCTAATCTAAATAACACTCCATGATGATAAGCAATCAACAAAATAAAACTAGACTAGTTGAACAAAAAACACCTAAACTCCTCAACCTTATTTTCTTCAACATTCGTGATATTGATACCAATTTCTGCGGGATGGCCAATCTTTCCTCTTGGTATACACTTCAGACATCCTAGCTCTTTGTGAAACTAATCTTAATTCTTCAATCCTCTCCTCTGAATTCTCAGTTTCTGGCTATCTTCTCTTTAGGAAGAACACTAGTATCCACATGCATGGTTTTTGTGTTTATGTTCAAGAACATTTCCCACTGACTAGGGCACTCTCTCTTGAGTTTCCAGACCATTCTTACATGTGCCTCCATTTTTCTCTACTAAACTCAGTCAGCTATCTCTTCCTCCTCTATTGTTCCCCTTCCTCTCATGACTGTAGCATGGTAGATAATATAGTCTGATAATATAGATAAGGTTATCTCTCTGCTACTCTCCTCTCTGGCATCCAAATATTCTAACATTCAATCTCTCATACAAGTGATAGACTTCCCTAAACTTTTCACCAGTTATCCTGACAGACACACTTCTCTGCTTGATCTCTTCTATATCCCTATTCCTGATGCATGTCATACTCTGCAGCTCTGTTCTATTGGCAACTCTGATCCTGTGATGGTGTCTGTAGATATCTCTTTCCATTCTACCAGCACAAACAAATCTCCTACCAACAGAATATCCTTGTTACCAATATGTTAATTGAAACATTCTGTATGAACCAAAGCTTTCATTCCAGTTCTAAAATAGCAAGTGAAACCATGATCTTCAGCTGCTATAGTCCACAGGAATCATTTCTTCCAGCTATACCAGAGTGATAGGTCTGATTGTAACAGATATTTCTGTCACTGCTCATAATAAGTGCAAGCTTGTACTTAAAGAGGCAAAGTTACTGTTTGCAGATAGAATGAAACAACATAGGCTTTCACAAGTTTGTTTCTTGAGATTACTAGCAGCTCTGCAAGAGTGTTCTGAACAATAGCAAATCCTCAGTTCCTCCTCTTTTCAATCAATTTGAAGTACTGACATCTTCTGCAGATAAGGTAGAGTGCTTTGGTCAGAGGTTTGCTTCTAACTGCACTCTCAACCCAACCGCTCCAGAACAGAGACTCTACTGAGTGATATCATTTCTAAATTGTATCCCCACAAGACAAGTGGATGTGACGGGATACCTGCTGTCATCCTAAACATATGTGCTCCTGAACTGGTTCCTGTTCTCTTCAAACTTAACAATAATTTCCTCGCTGTTTCCTGCTTTCCAGCTTGTTGGAATATTTCTCTGTAGTTTCTGTTTTTAAGAACTTTAGAGAACCCTGTGACTACTCCAATTATTGTCCTATTAGTCTCTTAGTGCTTTTCAGCAAAGTACTGGAAGCTCTAATCTATACTGAAGTGGTTAAGAATCTTACTTCTTACAACCTCCTTTCAGACAAACAATACAGCTTCTGTTTCACCAGACAAACAATACAGCTTCTGTTTCACCAGGTCTACCACTGATGTGTTATCAACCATCACTGAATTTGTATATGCAGCTCTGGATAAGTATAGCAAAGCCCAGGCTGTGGCTTTAGACATTTCAAAGGTGTTCAATAGAGTTTGGCATGCTGAAATTCTATACAAGCTCCAGGGCTATAATATCCTAAGATGAATATTTAGTTTAATCCAATCATTCCTAACAGATCAGGAAATGAGGGTAGTGTTGAAAGGGCTTGCTTCTAGATCCTTTCATATAAAACAAGGAGTCCCTCAAGGCTTCTGTCCTGATCAATGATGTCTCTGATGTCATCAGTTCCCAACTAGGTATTCATGCAGATGACATTACCATTTACTCCTGTCTCAGTAGCAAATTTGACAGAACTAAGATAATAAACCTGGTAGCTGCTCTTGAAAAGGACCTTCAATCAGTTGTTACCTGGGACAGAAAATAGCTTGTAAATTTTAACACCTCCAAAATTAAACTGCTTTCCTTTAATCACCACAGAGAACCTTTTCTGCCTACTGTCAGCATGACTGGTGCTAAACACTAGGAAAGCAATACACTACAACTTCTTGGCCTCATGTTTTCCAATGGCATGAAATGGAGCAACTATAGTGAATCAATTGCTTCATCTACTGCAAGGAAAGTTGGGTCACTGTGTTGTGCCAGAAAATTTTTCTCATCAGAATCCATCTCACACATATAAAATCTACCATTCATTTGTGCATTGAATACTGTAGCCATATCTGGTCTCAAGATTCCTGACAAAATCCAAAGAAGGGTTTAACTAAATACAAACACCACTTTTACTCTGTTTCTTTTCTTGGACTGTCCACCTGTGGAACTCCCTTCAATTTCTCTACTTCCTTGATGACTACAATCTTCTATCTTCTTGAACCCTGTTCATATTTTTTCTCCTTTCCTCGATCCTCCCACTCTCAGTCTTCTTCTCTTTCCTTGCCAGTAGCCCCTGCATGCTAGTGGCATTACACCTTGCTTGATGTGAAATGATTTAAAAAAAAAAATCGTGTGTGTGTCAATTTATCACTAATTTTACCATGAACACTACAATCTTAACCTCTGCAAGTCATGGGTCAGTCATTTTCTACCCACTTTATCTTCATAATCTTCACTTCCTGACACCTCTTCTTTCATTCATATCATAAATAATTATCATTTTAACAGTAACCCTCTACCTTGTGTAGCTTTTGAGTCCTTTATTTAGTACATTCTAGTATTACCAAAAAGTTTGAAATTCCCTAAGGCACACAGATACCTAAATGAGGCCTGAGGGCACAATTGTTAAGACACACACACAAAGAGCTAATGGCAGGTTCTTGGCTCAAACCCACTTTTCAAACAGGTTTTGTGTAGGTCTTTTTGGTCAAGTTGAAAATATATATTTTAATCCAACAGATTTTATTCACCAAAAAAACATTTAAAATGATAAAATATATTTGTTTGTGTGTGTGTGTGTGGAGGGGTTGCTAATTTATGAATAATTTTCCCCTAAACATTACAATCTTAACCTTCCCAGGTCAAAGGTCAATCATTCTCTCCTTATACTCATACACTTCACTTCTTACAACCTCTTGCCTTCATAGCAAACATCTCCTTCATCATTACCATTAATTCTAACAGTAACCAAGCATTTTATCTCATCTATTTTTGTTATTTTATTTAGAACAAAGTTTTGCTTAAAACTCAAAGAATAGATGAGCTTAAACTGTGTTAAAAAACAAAAAATCAAAAGATTGATTGATTCATTCATTTTCTATGGCTTATCAACCTTTTGCAGGTTATTTAAAGCCAGAAAATATTTTCAGATTGTCAGAATACTTTTTTGAGATAATTATAGTTTCATAATACAAGTCTTACTATTTAACCCATAGCTGAGAAGTGAAGAGGTGAATTCATACTTTCCCAAGTGTATTTTTATATAAGTGAATATAACAAACCCAACAGGAATTGGAACCATTATCCATTACACCACCCACACAGCCAAACTTGCACCTGGTATTTCCAAGTGGTCACCCATCTAGTTACTGACTAGGGTTGATATTGCTTAACTTCAGTGATTGTACAAGAAACAGTATTTCAATTTGATATAGCCATAAGCCAGGCAATAAAAGAAAATCCTTAAAAATTTACACAGTGATGAAAATGAATCATCTCAAAACTTCAGAAACAGTTAAAGAATATTTTTCTGGTTGTTGATAAATTTGAAACCTTGATCCCTCTTTTATTGTCTGATTCTTAACTTATGACTAACCAAGATACAATGCTAAAATATAATGATCAACACAGGGAAAATTGTCATACACCAAAAATACCTCTCCTCCTTATAATGATAATGTTATATTTTGTGCTAATAGGAATATATACTTGAAAAACAAGGTGGATAAAATAAGTAAAGGTTTATTGTAAAAAAAAAAACATTACAATAAGAATAAAAGGTAACAGTTATGCACAAGGTCATCACAAGTCAATTCAGTAGTGAGTGCTACTATTAGTAGTTCTCGCTTAAGTCAGAGTCATACTCAACAGATCCCAGCTAGTCTCTATAGATACTTATAGGTAGTTACTACCTATAGTGTAGTCACTAATGGGGGTGACAGGTTATTCCTTTACATCAGATAAAAATAATAAATGAAACATTTCTGAGCTTTTAAACAGTACAGTACTGAATAATCTAAACCTTGGACCAACCCACTTTTTGAGTTACATAAATGATCTGCCTGAAAATATTCTCAGATCATTTTTAAATATCTATGCCAATGAAACCCTATATGGGTGCACCTCTAAGACTCTTGATGA